CCGCAGCCAGCCCCGCCAGCCAGGCCGGCCATCCCCAGGCCAGGCCATCCCTAGGCCACCCCAGGGCCGCAGGCACAGCCGCAGGCACTTCGCATCCTCGCCCCACTCGCGTCGCCATGCCCGCGTGCACCAACGAGAGCCTGTCCAAGCTATGGCCCGGGTCACCCGGTTCCCCTGGGTCGCCCGGGTCCCCGGCCGGGTCGCCGCCATCCGGGTCGTCGCCGTGCTCCCCCGCGTCGCGCTCGCCGCCGTCCACGTCGCCGCCGCCGCGCCTCCGCCGTTCGCTGTCCAGCTCGACGGCTCTGGCCTACCCTCGCGAGCAGGCCTCCCCGCCGCCGATCCAGCACCATCACCACCATCACCACCACCACCACGAGGAGGTGTCGGGCGGCCTGCTCGCCCTGCTGATCGGATGGTACCCTGCCTTCCTGCTTCGCTTCGCCCGCAACCTGGTCGCCGCCCTGGTTTACCTGTCGTGGAGCCAGCTGCTGCTGGCCGGCCCCACCCTCTGGCTGTCGGCCTGGCTCTGGCTCTTCTGGAAGGCTGTGCAGCTGCCGCTGGCGCTCATCAAGGGCGTGCTGCAGCGCCTCTACACGCCGGCCGCGGAGCGCGCGCGCCGCAAGCGCACCGTGCTCATCTCGGGCGGCTCCTCGGTGCAGGCGCTGCACCTCGCGCGCAACTTCCACTCGGCCGGCACGCGCGTCGTGGTGTGCGAGGTCGAGGGGCTGTTCGGACTGGCGCGCTTCTCCACCGCTGTGCACCGCTTCTACACCGTGCCGGTGCCGTCGGCCGACAAGGACTCGGCGCTGAAGTACGTGCGCGCCCTCTGTGACATCGCGATGCGCGAGGAGGCCGAGTACTACCTGCCCGTGTGCTCCAGCACGCCCGCCTACTACGATGCTCTGGCCAAGCCCGACCTGGAGCTGCTCGGCTGCAGCGTGTTCTGCCCCGGGCTGGAGCAGACCTCGGCCCTGGACGACACCTTGGAGGTGCTCCGCCGATGCCGCGCGCGCGGCCTGGCCACGCCGCTCTTCTACCCGGTGCACTCGCGCGACGAGGTGCTGCGCCTGTACGAGGCAGGCGTGCTGCGCCAGTCGCGCTTCTTCCTGCAGCTCGCCGGCCTGGACGGCTGCCGCGAGCGCATCAAGCTCGCGCTGCCCACCAGCCGCCACGAGTTCCGCGCCATGGCGCCCGCCGTGTCCCCGTCCCTGATCGCGTCCCCTGACTACCGGACCTGGGTCGTGGTCCAGGACGTGGTCGGCGAGCACTTCCTCACCTGCACGACCGTCAAGAGCGGCCAGGTGGTGGCCAACGTCACGTGCCGCTTGGAGCAGGGCCTGGTGCACGTCGAGAGCGAGGAAGTGACGCGCTGGCTGGAGGCCTTCTTCGCGCGCATGCCCGTCACCGGCCACTTTCGGTTCCGGCTGGTGCGGCCCGCCTCGGCCTCGGCCTCCACGGGGCTGCTGCCGCTGGGCTGCCGGGTGGGCGTGTCTCTGCCCTACCTGTGCCACACCTCCGTGCACCCGCGCATCGTCATCAAGCCGTGCCGCCACTTCAGCCGGCAGGCCTCGGGCCCGCTCGTGTCGGGCTCGGGCCGCTACTGGATGCACGAGGCCGTGCTGGACACGCTCAAGCGGCCCAGCGTGGAGGCCGTGAGCAAGTTGATCGGGACGGTGCTGGACAAGCGAGAGGCCCTCTTCGTGTTCTGGGACCCGCTGCCCTACTGCGCGTACTACCACCTGCAACTGCCCGCCCGACATCTGCTGGGCTTTCTGCAGGGTCGCAGCAGCACCTGTCAGCGCACCGCCACAGCCCCCGTCGCCGTGAAGTGAGCATCTGCAGCTGGCACCAAACGGCCGGAGCCCTGTATGCTACTGCAGCTGGCCCGCGTCTGGACGCACCTGCAGCAGCCTCCTCTGGATGAACCTGCAGCGAGCTGTTGCGCCTCCAGCTGGCCTGCAGCTGGCTCGCGCTCTGCCTCTAGAGACACCTGCAGCAGCTGGCACTCACTCTGCCTCTAGAGGCACCTGCAGCTGGCACAGTTTTCGCGTCCAGGAAATTGTCATGTCCTGTGTGTTTGACCTCTGTGACACTCGGCACCCATCAGTGACATGTGAACAGCCCTCGACCGCGAATCACTTTGGCCAGTATTAAGAGTGCCATCTAGTCACCCGTCCACCTCAAATCGTATTGACAGTCGCCACGCTCGACCTCTTAGGCTGCCCTGGAAGTTGGCGTTGACTTTTGAACCGTAGCAATCGCCGAGTCCACTCGTTTGTTTGCGCTGCCACAAGTGGATATTACGTCAATATGAAAACAGAATAATTGTGATAGGAGGAGACACGCTGGTTTTATTTTACCGTACTTTCTTTTTAAAAAAAGCCTTTTTAATATTTTTCCGGTTTAGAGAATAGTTCGTACCCTTAGTTTCATATCCCGTTTGTGACGCAGTGGATCCTGTACGCGTTGTCTTTTATTGTTATATCCGAGTGACATCGATGTGAATCTTATTGCGATCGGAGGAAGGTGCCTGGGCTGGGCAAGGGTAGCTCGAGGGGTAGCCCGGTTGTAACGTAACGTCCCCCTCCTCCTCGGCCGCTTGGCTGTTCGCACTGCGCCACACTTACTGCGCCCGCCCTGGCCCCGGCCCCCTCCCGGTCAGCTGACCCGTGCGCTCTGCACAGTCAGTCTGCGCGCTTGTCAGCTGCACCTCCAGCCCAGCCTCTCGCCGCGTGACCAGACTCACCCTCTCACCTCCCAGCCTCTCCGGCCAACTGACCAATTACCGGCTGATAGGGACAGAATCATGTTGCTGATGTAAGACTCCGTAATGAGTAATGATGCTGAAATGAGAGAAAGAGGTGGGGAAGGGGTAGGGAGATATAACGGTGGGTGGAGGGGGTATGGTCCGGACGAAAAAGAAAGACAGGACCGCAGGGGTCAAATGTGCCTTGGTAAAGATGAGTCGCTTTTGTCGCTCGCTCGCCACGTGATGTCCTCTTATCACTTTTTGCATTCACAAAGACATTCCAAAGTCGAAAAATAAAATGGTGCCTCGGTACAGTCTGTCTGGCGACGGTTACTAACGGCGAAAGATGTCAAAAGTTTCGTAGCTGACAAATCCTTGTGTGTAGATGTCGTAAATGAAAGCTGGCTTGGCAGCGGCCAAGTTTTGAGAGTAGATTTTGGACGGTTGAGCGTTGCCGTACGTAGATAAAATAAGTTTTTGCATGTCAAACGTTTTACATAAGTTGACGCTCATAGACCATAAGTTGTTTTTTTCCTTCTGATTTTACGTTAATTTTTATCGTGCTGTAATAATTGTGACTTTATCGTGCTTATTTATTTATTTTTAATTCTTCACATCGCCCCTTTTAGGATTGTTTCACCTTGAAACACGCTCATTCGATGTTGTCTTCTTTCGAGAGAAGTCTTGAAATTTAGGGGAAACGAGAATGATCTACTCAGATACTGAAATACTCATTTTATGTCGTTTGTTTGTGTACGTAAACTTTGTGAAAAGACTGAATCCTTTTACTGTTGATATTGTTGTTAGTTTTTGTATTATATGTGGGAATGTATATTTTTTCACCCTTTTACTTTTTTTTCACATTAAAATGTACACAATAATCTGGGTACGGCGTCTCCGTTGTATATTCCTCGAACATCGCTTTATCAACTCTCGACACGTCACGTCGTCACATAAACACAGAATCTTGGTTAAAAAAAGGACTTGCAACTTGTGCCCATTATTTCCAACAGGGCGCGCTCTTTCAATTTGCTTTGAGCCACACGACCTGCACGCGTGTGCAAACAACCCCGCGTGTGTTGTGTCCACATGGCCACTGGGTTCATGTCTACAAAGCATTTTCCTCGAATCATTGAGCTTATCTCTTCGAACTTTCGAACCAAGAGTTGTCTAAACCTGGAGCAGCCGCTATCTACACAGCCAAGAGACACATTATAATTTTATCGCTTTCCACCCTCACATGCCTTTTTTTTAAAAATCACACAAATCGGTTTTCAATTTTTATTTGCAACGCAAAAAAGGGGGCAAAAAAATCTCATCTCCCTTCTAAGCCTCTGACGCATCTCTAAAAAAAATACCTTCACATCGCAATCAAAACCTTTTTGAGTCAATGGGATGTTCTGTTGTTTCTTTAGTTGTCGATAGGACGGTTCATCATGGCCTTGAAGTAAACTCGACCTTTTAAGGTCGTCGCCCTCTCCGTCCCCAAATCGCCTCGCTGAGTCGCTACGTCGTCCCCGCCCCGCATCCGCTGGCCAGGGCGCCCGCCCCCGTCCGCGCCCCGCCAGCTGTTGCTCCTTCGAGTTTAAGAAATAGAATGACGTAGGCGGCGCAGGTGATGGGGAAGATTCCTATACCGAGAAAGAAGTGAAGACATTGAAGTAACACCCTCCAATCACATCCCCCGTGCCCATCGAAACACAAAACAATACAGTTTCTTCTTTGACCGCTCTCGCCTGCCTGCAGCTATGTGTGGCTGCTGTTGATGTTGTTTTCTTGCGTCCCTCGATGCCCCGCAGCCCCGCACTTGTTAGTGTGATACAGTTTATCTCTGAGGTTCCTCCCAAAACGGCCTGCCCATTAGACTGTGTGGCCCGTTGCTGTGGAGATTGGAAGGAACGGGGGAAAAGGGGGGGAGAGGTCAAAACACAAAAATATTGGCTGGAAGTGGAAAGAATTGGAGCTTAATTTAAGACTTCCCCTGCAATTGTATACCATATATATGGTCCTTGGACCTTCGATCCGAGTCCAACCCCTTTGGGCGTGGTCGAAAAACACAACAAGCATAGGAACGAGTCATTTTTCAATGCGAATCTTGCTGGGCTGGGAGTATACAGGGTGGTCCGCCAGCCCCGTGCTTTCTTCTGGTTACAGTGTACCGGATGCAGGCGTGCGGGCGCACTGATAAATTAAGTGTGCATCTCCGCAATTGTGCACTTGCAAGTGTGCAACTCCTCAGTTGAGCACTAATTCCTACAGAGTGATCGTCCAATTAAACGAAGTGCTCAACTGAGGAGTTGCACACTTGCAAGTGGACCCCTACCTCGGTGCAACTCCTTGCAAGTTAACTTGCAGCACAACTGTTAAGCAGTTGCCCATTTAGTTTACCAGTGCGGTGCGGACTTGCCTTTCGTCGCTTATGGAGGCGCCTTTCGCCACAGTGGGACAAAAGGGTCAAAAGTGCACAAAAATATTCTTTGGTCAAAACTGATTCAGATAGGCAAGAACTTCTGGTAAACTATTTCGATTATGATTTCGACTCACAATGGCCAATCCAACTGTACTAAAAGCACGAAAACGGCAAAACAATGCCTAAGAAGTCAAAATTCTTCCCTTTGCGAAGGTCACGGTTTTGTCTGGTTTTTCTGCATCAACTTTTCACTGGCAATCCGAATATCTCATCATCCGGTTCCAGTCAGGATCTTAACTGTCGATATTTCGCGTTATGTTTGACATTTTACAGCATTTTTTTTGCCGTTTTCGTGGTTTTGACACTGTTAGATTGGCTATAGTGAGTCGAAATCTCAATCGGCTTAGTTTTAAAATTACTTCTCGCCTACCTGAATCAGCTTTTGGACCAAAGAATATTTTTTACGTACCTTTCACCCATTTGTTCCAACCACTCTGATTACGGCGCCGTTCGAGTATGCAACCCGCCCCCACGCCTGCATCCGGTACAGCATGACCAGACGAAAGAACGGGGCGGACTGACCACCCTGTATAACAAAGTAGATAGTTTCAACTTGGTTCAAAAAACTTTGCATTCATTTATTATAAATGAACCCAGGGCTTAACTCTCACAAGATGCCCATCCTGAATTATCATAGTTTAAACCAGAGGTAAGTGTTTTAGAGCCTGGTATAAGTACGCCCACAAATGCTCAGTGAATCGATAACGTCGACGTTTTTAACATTTAATTTCGACTTAATTGTAGAATCAAAGTTTGGCAGTCTTTACTCCAAAACTAACGGGTTTCACAGTTGGATAGATGACTTTGAAGTTCCCAAACTATGCCAATTTAAAACTTTATATTTTACTGATCAAACTATTTTGGGGGTGCCGAGTATTTTTTTTTTCTTTGCTGTGAGTCCGTCTCTTGGTGGCGCGGAGGGGGTTGAAACCCGTTGACCCGCGCGGGCGCGGGGAGGAGGGGGGGCTCTGGGCTTGGGGCGGCTGGGAACGCCTGACAGCGGCGGGCGCCAATCACGGCGCAGCCCGGCGCAGCTCCAGAGGCCAATCGCGAGACAATTAGATAGGATGTGACGTCGTCGAGAACAAACTTATCGGCAAAACCATCGTCCGGGGGGGCTTCACCTGTGGCAGAGTATAGCACCGGCACGGTAAAATTTTATGAAAGTCTCTTATAACAAGCATATACCATTTTCATAAAATTTTCATAAATTTTTATTATAATTTTTAAAACTATCCGAGTGTTGTTGTTATGTGTACGATGAAATCATGATTTAGAAAAATGATTATCGAAAAGTTCGACTTGCAAGCAATTGCAAGTAGGCCTATCTCACACCTTGTTACTGCATGAACAGGGAGACTGTCTCTGTTTACTTTTTGTGCGTTTTGCGGACGGTCAAGACGATGCACAGCGTGAACGACCTGGCGTTGACGCAAACCGGCGCCCTGTGGAATAAACACGGCAGATATCCGCTGCTATCGGGAGATATGATTCACGGTTGCCAGGCGAATGACGGATTGAAATTCATCACTCCAAGCTTGGGCTCATTATCTGGCCGGGGTCAGGTACACAAATTGGAATCTCAATTGGAATATTTGAGGCTTGATTAAATACGGGCCGCAATGAAAAGAAAAAAGAAAAAAAAAAGTGCCAAAGGTAAGGGGGCACGGTTTGTTGAGGTAGGCGCGTTTTTCATGAAGTCAAAAGTCAACTACAGTCCACTTTACACAATTGCTTTAAAATTGACAAGAAACCACTTAATTTAACTACATTAAGAGGGGAGATAGAGCTAGTTACTAGATGCACATGATGTACAGGCCATCGCTAGTGTGCAGTCGGAAGTTATTTGCTTTTCTGTTCAGCCGTGGACTGGTTAGAGAGTTGACCTGACAGTGTACATGATCTTCTGTGACATTCCTGGTGTACGGTCTATCTTTGGTATCGTTTCTAATTCGACCCTTGCGATGGGTTGCCCATCACGACCCGCATCAGGTGAGCCGCAGCTATCTACCTTAAGCTGCTGTTCAGGCTGCTTGTATGTATCCGCATCGAAATAGTAGTCGCACCGAGGGGCCAATAACTCCGCTGGAATCATGTATACACTGGAAATGCAAGTGTGTGAATGTCGCTCACCTGCAGGTGAGCGACATTCCATTCGTACACTTAGGGGGGTTAAGGTGTGATTTTTTCCTGGAAATTTCACACGTTTACCCCCCTAAGTGTACGAATGGAATGTCGCACACACTTGCATTTCCAGTGTACACCTGCCTGGGAATCATCAGGGTAAAAATTAGTCGAAATCAACAGAAATCGCTTAAAATAAGCGGGGAACTAGTGGAACTGGTACAAATTAGTCGAAATGAGCGTTTTCTACCATTAGAAATGAACATAAGTGGACGGGAATCACTGGGAATCAAGGATTTCGGGAATCATGTGTACACATCAAAAGGGAGTTATTGCCCCCTCGAGTTGCACCGTTTGTAAAGTTGCAGTGTCCTCGGGATCAACCCAGCGACGGGCGTAGCTACGCGAGGAAGAGCACCCCGCGCCCGCAGACAACAGCATAGGCCAACCCGCGCAAACGAAAGCACGTCTGCTTTGTCTCATCTACCCTTGTGATTGTGCGCGACCCTGGACGTAGCCTGCTCTCTCTCTCTCTCCCCCTCCCCCCAAGACTGCTGACGCCCGTGACGCGCGCGCGGATTTAAACACAGCCGCGCTTGTGGACGGGCGGACGTGACCCCATCCCCATCCGCGGAAACGAAAGGAGAGGAAAAATACGCGCGCAACAGAAACAATGTTGCGCAGTTGCGCACTAACTGTAAGGCGCAGTACTGCGTCTAAGTAATTTCTTTTGTAAATAATTTGGTGCACTCGGCGTTTAATCAATGAAAGCGATCTGGCGTTATTAGCCTAGAACAGCCAGCCCTCCATCTAATACTAAATTTGAAAATATTAACTACATGGTGTGATCTTAGCGATGGGATTTGCTCTGTATATGTTCTGAGGTCTTTGGCATTATAAAGTGTTACTCTAATGGCAACCTCACAGGTAAAAATCCTCCGGCTTTTTCCTTTGTCAGTCTTAAATTTTTATTTAAAAAAAGAGAAGAAAAAAAAAGAAACACAAACAGATAAACGACAAAGAATTAACAGAAACAAACACATGTGTTGCTGCAGCTTTTCCTTTCTCACATACTTTAATGATCTAAAATCTTTCCTCTGTGACTTTTAGCCCCGCAACTCGCGGCTTTCGATCCGATTTGGGCCAACCCGATACGCCACTCGCAAACAAGCTCAAATAAGACTTGTGTGATCAGACCTTTGCAGCGTGATCGCGGGCATATCGCCCCCGTGAGGCCGCCCCGCCCCGCCAGCGTCTATGCGGAAGTAGAGTAGGACACACCGTCTGGCGACC